GTTGGTTTTTTGCATTGTATTGCAGGTAGGTTGAGGTAGCAATTAATGATTCATTTTATTTTCTTGACTTAGTTAACTCTACCTAGATCCCTTATTAATTACAATAAAAATGAAATATTAAGCTGACGTTAGGCTCGTTTAAGAATATTGGAAATTTCTTCAATTATAGGTGTGTCTGATTACCCTAAAATTTTGTAACAATTGTTGCAAATTGTTACTGGAAGTCGTCGGTTAACCCGTATGTTCTGCAAAAGAGAGCGGTTGGAAAGAGAAATTTTGACATTTATTTCAGTGAGAGTTTGCAAATTTTTGCTGGACAAATTTCTTCTTGCAATCACTTGCAACTCTTCTTCTTCTCATTCATCGACATTCAATCAGATGTGTTCTATTGTTTGTTTATTTCTTTTTGTGCTTTCAATTCGAAAATATTTTTTTGGAATAAACAAGACTAATTGTTTTAGGAGAACAACTTTACAAAATGTGAAAACAAGAAATATTAATAAAACAAATAAAAATAAAAGAATATTTCCAACATTTTTAGACAAACGCCATTAGCAACACGTTTAAAGGATTCCGGGGAACACATCAAATCTATCTTTCTTTTATTGCTCATATTTTTATTTTATTGCAATTTTCCTTTTATTTATAAAAATTTGTAAAATTGGCTTTTTTTAATTATTTTAATGGGGGATAAATTTGTTTGTTTTACAAAGCAGCTAATTAGTTGCAAGCTTCTACAGGAATACCACCTGTTTACTTTTCGCATTTTTCTTACAAAAGAGAATAAAACTACTTTACTCTCTCAGAAAGATGTTGCTGGACAACCAGACACATCTAATGTCTAACTTGAAAAGCATTACTCTTTATCTAAAAGTTTCACAAGTCCCAACTATCCAAAATAAATATATCGCTTTTACATCATAAAATCCACAAATTCCCCATAACAAATATGAAATTCCTAAAGTTGTTTAAATAACATTTAAATTGATTTTTATTGATCGTATATGTTTTATTAACATATGGTTTCCTTACTGCAAACCATTTAAAAAAACTGAAACAATAGATTGTTGGGTATATATTCATTCATATAATCGCACAGTAATAATTTCATCCACAATTTCATTTTAATCGATGGCAAACAATTTATTTCAATTGTCAATGGACACATAACATGATTTATGGATTTATTACCCGGGCACTAATCGAACAAACATCAGTAGTATGTGGTTCAAGGAAATAATACAATATAGGTATGTAGTGGTAAAATTTTATCAGCGGAAGTATTTTTCGAGGATAGATTTACAATTTATTATTTTAGAGGCCTTGATTTAATAAAATCCACACGATTTATTGCTTTTCCGTATGAATGGAGCTCTATTGTGTTCAATATTTTAAACTACAGAAAAATTTTAAGTGGAGTCATATGTCCTGTTCCAGAAACTGCAAGAATTCACTAAATATTCAAACGTTCATAACAACATTGGAGATGTAGACCAAAACATTCTTCTGGTGGGAAATTTTATTCCATTGTATCACATACATAGGTCAATTGATGAAAGATTTTGCTCTGCAACTAGTTGTTGATTACAGTTATATGCATAAATCAAAGTTGATGAAAGTTGTTGACAAAGTATTTTTCATATCCATGACATAGATTAAGAGTTGAACCTCAGCCCAAAAATATATCGCATTCTATTTAGTACAATTTTCTTGAAAATATAAAAAATATCTAACAATATTTATTATCATACTCATAAAAACCACGTTTTTATATAAGGTAGCACTGCTGGTAGTAAGCTCAACACAACCATTAATACAGTACCCTGTACAGTACATTGTGAAATTGTGATTGGTGTTATCACAACCAAGTGAATGTCAAACAGCCAAAAAGCACAAGCACAGCTGTCAAAACATTTCACAACCAACTTTTAACTTTTATCCATAGCCGAGACAAAAGAAATTTGTTTTCTTTACAAAAAAAAAACAATCCGAAGGAAAATATTTCGCAATTTTTTATACAAACGTACTATAAGTACCATAAATACAGGATCATCAACTATTTTAAGCATAGTAATTGTAAGTAAATCACACACATACACAATGGCTGCCAACAACAACACAAACAACAATCAACCACTTCCAATGACGTCGTCGCCACCGTCGAATAATTGCTGGGGAACTGTTCCAAAACCCATTGTGGAAGACATGAATTTCGCTGCCATTGTAAAAAATCAGAAAAAAGAAAAAGTCCTTAAGCAAGCAACCGAAAGAGAAAAACGAAAGCAGCAAGAAGAACGTGATTTAGAGGAGGCTTTGGTCAAAAGCCTTGAAATGGCCACTATGCAAGATGCCCAGCCGGATGAGGACGAAGATGAATGGGATTTACTTAATGAAGAAGATGACTTCAAATTCATTTTGCCACCAGAAGTTTTGGAATTCCTTAAAAGTGAAGAAGAAGAGCTGGCTGCAGCTGAAAAGGCAGCCTTAGAAGGCTGTGAATCGGATGCTGTAATTGCTCAAATGTTACAGGCTCAATTCGACAAGGAATACAATGAAGAAGTAAAGCGTATCGAAAAAGCCCAAAATAAACAATCCAAGATTACGGTGTGCTTGGATAAGTATATTAAGCCTTACATCAGGGATGTGGGCGAAGACCTCGAAAGTGATGATTACGAAGAAGATGAGATACATCGTGAAAAACGTGATTGGGATCGTTTTGAGACTAACGAACGTATACTGGAAGCCATACCCAAGTGTGGCTATGGCATGGATAAGGATGGTGAAATGATTACAAAACATGACGAAAAGTTGTGTGGTGTTCGGAATGCTTGCCGCATGATGTCGCTGCCGTTGGAATTTGCCACTGGTGACGGGGCTGGTTTTGATATGAAACTGTCGAATAGGGTGAGTGTGTGGAGAAACATTTTTAAAGTATTTTTTGAGCCAGGAGAGCTTTCAATTTTTAAATGCTTTAAAAACAATAAATTTTTAATTAGGATATTTAAAACGCTTTCTAGCGACTATCAGCGACCATATTTGTGAATTCTTAGTTATTTTCTGAAGGACTGTCTAATTTCGGATGCTAATTAAAGGCTTATTCTTCTTTCAAGGGGAGGTAACCATTCGAGTTTTGCATCAGTCATTTTTAGAGGAAATCTCTATATAGCATTTTTTACGAAGACCCTTTAAAGAAGAGTTCTAACAATAGAATTCCTTTTAGAATTCAGTCTATAGAAGACCTAAACCTCAAGATCTTGTGGTTCTATATGAGACTTTTTGGAAGGCATTCTAATTTGGAATACTTTAAGTAGACACATATCTTAGAACTTCCTATTTTTTACAATTCCTTTCTATTAAAAACCAAACATAATTTGTTGTACATTTCAGGTTTTTAACGAACTTAAAACCTATTCCCGCAAGGGCCAGAAGAAGAACGCCCGTATGCAGGATCGTAAGGATAATGTCGCCACCGCGGAAATGGGTGTCGATGGTCGTACTCGTTTAATACTCTACAAATTGATTAACAATTTGATTTTGGAACAAATTAATGGCATCATTTCTACCGGCAAGGAAGCTGTTATCTTACATGCAAATTCTGATCCTGCCTTTGTTGGACCAGATCCAGAAAATCCCCTTGTTATGCCCAAGGAGTGCGCTGTGAAAATATTTAAAACCACTCTTAATGATTTCAAGCAGCGTGATAGATACATCAAAGACGACTATCGTTTCAAGGGCCGTTTCAATGTTCGTTTCGGCAAACAGAACAACTTCGTCATCATTAATATGTGGGCCGAAAAGGAAATGCACAATTTAACCCGCATGCAGAGTGTGGGAATCAATTGCCCCGAAGTTGTAATGCTCAAGAAACATGTGTTGGTCATGTCGTTTATCGGTGAAAATAATAAGGCCGCTCCCAAACTTAAAGATGCTATTCTCAGTGCAGCCCAGTGGATTGCCGCCTATGATGAGGTGGTAACTGCAATGTACAAGCTATACAATGAGGCTAAATTGGTACATGCCGATCTGAGTGAATACAATATTTTGTGGCACGACGATAAATGCTGGTTTATTGACGTTGCCCAATCGGTGGAACCGCAACATCCCTCAGCACTGGAGTTCCTAATGAGAGATTGTAACAATATTGTCAGTTTCTTTGAGAAGAAGGGTGTCCCTAATTGCCACACTAAGGAACAGCTATTCGAACACATTACATCCCTCAATGCCGAAACAATTAATGTCGCCATGCTGGAACGTATCCACACCAAAGGTGCCAACATACAACTGGCCACCGCTCCAAATCAAGATGAATGTCCTCTGGAGGCGAAACCATTGGAATATCCATTTGATTTGGCATGGGAAAAAACCATGCAGAATGCCGCCAATGTTGAGTGTAAAGTACAAGCTGCATTAGTTGAGAATGCCAAGAATGAATCATCCATGCCACAACCAATTATTGTTAATTCTCTTACTGACACTGCCAACATTTAATTAACACAAGGCATATAACAATTTATCATAAATACACATATTTAAGTAGACTTTTTTGGTATCTTTCTTCGAGAAGATAATGTACTAATTTAAATTATTAAGATTTTAACCTAAACTGTTGTGTGCAGGAAGCGAAACACCCTTTTGACAAAGGTAATAAATGGTAGCTTTAGAAACTCCAAAACAATGTGAAGATTTTCCTAAAAATATTTGGTAAGTAATGTGGTAAATGTTCTATAACTTAGTTTTTATAACCGCCAACATAGAATATTGAATTAGTTTTAGTAATTTTCAAAAATAAGGATTTTGTAGCTATCAAAGGGATACTTTTACGGGATTGGCCTTATCAGCAGATGCCCCTTATATTTTATCAGAATCTATGGATAAGAATTTCGAATAAAATTCTTTACAAAACGGGTAAAAATGCGTTATTTTCCACCGAACAAATTCCTGCATTCGATGTCGAAAACATTTTGATCGCATTAGGCTACAGAAATTTTCAATTTATGGAATTGCGAAAATGGATAATTTTTTATTACGATAATCGATTTTCCCTTTACTCTGTCGAAGAAAATTGCAAAAATAGTAGTTTCATGCAGGCTTCGGAATTAGTCAAGATAAAATTGACACTAATTTAAAATTAATTTCGATCAACATTTTTCGGTATCGCATGAGAAAACTATGTCCCAGACCATCCAAAATAACAGATTCTACGTAACATTATATCTCCGTATGGGAAGAATTTTGCATCAATGTGAAGTTCTTGGGTTCCAAAAGAACTTAAACATGTGTTAAAAGGAAATTCGTACTTTTTTATGACGCAGCTCGTGTCGAAATCTTTCCGCAGATGTAAGTAATTTTTCCCGCAAATCAAAACGCTCTTATATTCCAATTGGAGATTTTGTTGAGTGCTAACGTCCATATCTCGGAAGGACTCCACTTGAATATCCTTTGTAGCCTAAAATCGTGGAAAGTATAGACTTACACAAGTGAACTCTTATATTGTTGTAAAAAGGACGCCGCGGATTATTTATTCTCAAAATGAATCGAAAAGGGCTGTAAACTTGACTTGGCCCCAATAAATAAATGGAAAATACTTACCTGTGATGATTTTTTAATGGTTTCATTGAGTTTGTAAAAGTTTTGATGTAAAAAAATTAATTAAATTGACGCTCCTCGTTGCTTTTTCAACCAAAAAAACAAAGCGACTATTCACTTGGCGCAATAGTTGACAACAATGAAGTTTCTGAACCTACTTGTCAAGCACATAGAAATGGTAGCCCACTGAAAGTGGTTCACATAACGGATCCTTATCACAATTACTGGGTAATGCACTGCAGTCCACATATATCTGAAATCCTAATAATACAAATTCTGTCACAAAAATATTATAGTTTGATATTGATTTGACATCAATCTCTGATGCTTCAATGAAATTTGTTATTTTCGGAAATTTATTTAATGAAATATAAATACAAACCTTGTGAAAATGTCAATTTAAATTGTTACGGTACTCCACGAACACGTTACGGTGTCAATAACTTAGTTATTCACGTGCTATCAATATAAAGTCATGATTGAAGAGGAAGAAAAAGAAGAAGCAAATCAAGTTCTAGTTTGAATTTCATAAGAGACAGAGACTTTCTGGAATATTTTTAATATTTTTGTTTAAATTGTGTAGAATTAAGCAATTTTTGTGAAAAATTTTGTATAACTTTGTGGGTAAGTCAGTTTTGAAGCTTTTTTTAATTATAATTATGTAAATATTAGTTTATAAGTACATATTTCCAAGAAAATTTCTGCGTTGCTCAACCGCTATGTTAGGGATGGTGTTACAAGGATTCAGCAAACACTAATCCAAAAACACCACAGCAAGACTTCTTGGGACTTTTATCATCTATATGATTCCTAGGAAATGTATTAAATATTTGCCACAGGCAAATAACTATATCCTATAACTATATCCATGTATGTAAGTCCGTGCTAAACACATTTCTCACCGCACAATGACCACCAAAATCTCCGGATACCAATCCGTTGGACTGTTGTGTCTGGAGTATTTTGGCAAGATTGGCGCTAAAAAATCCCAAAGTGTTGATCACCTCAAGCAAGCGCTTCGCCGGGAATGGGCCAAAATAACGTCGCATTCGGGCAGAATGCGACGGTTTCATTGGCCGTTCGAAGGCCATAATTCGTGCCAAAGGTGACGAATTCGAATAAATGTAAACATATTCTAAAATTTGATGCTATTTCCCATATTTTTTGCAACAAAATTAAAAAAAAATGTAAAAATTAAGGCGTTTGACTTTGTTGCATTTTTTTATCTCACCCTGTATTTAACGTCGAATCAAATCAAAGTGTGTCTGGTTTTTTCTTTCCATTTTTTGTGTTTTTATATTGTCTTCTCTTCCGGGTATTATTTGTGTTTCCAATTTTTGATTAATATTTTGCGATTAATACAAGTACTCCCAAACCCATTACTGGGAAAACTAAAGAAACTTCTACAATTTAGAAAAAAAAAATTAGATATCCGGCACGAACCAAATTCCACTATAGGCCTCAGCTAACTTTACTACGTTTACTACTCATCAAGTGTAAAAGAAAAATTACACAAAAAAGAGGTTTTTTATTGAATTTGTTTTTCGTTTTTATTTCAAAATAAAAATTAAATAAAATTCCTTTATTCTTCTTTAGATTTTTTGTTTTGTTGTGTTTTTAATATTTATCTGTTTTCAGATTTTTCTTCTTCTTGTTGTTGTTTATTTGTTTTTATATTTTTTTGTTTTGTTTTAATAATAATACAACTTAAAATTAAAAAAGATAATAATAATGCTTAACGTGTAAAGATTTTGTTTATTTTTATTCTCATTTATTTCTTAATTTATTTCTTTTTGTTAATAATAATAATAATATTTATATTATTTCTGTATGTATATATATATTTATTATTTGTAAGGTAGTTTTTTTCTCATTTATTAATAGTTATTAACATGCTAATTTGTTGGTTGTATTTTTTTTTTGCGTTTTTTTATTTTTTCTGGTATGTTTTAAATAGCAATATAATAACGATGTTTATTTTGTTTTACTTTTTTGTAGTTTAATAATATATTACAATTAGGTTTTTTGTTGTGTTTACTTTTAGAATTATAACATACAGTTAATAATATATTATTTACTTTTTTTATATTTTATTATAGTTTTTAAAGCTAAATTCTAAGAAATTGGGAAGGAAGGGGTACTGTACAAAGTTTTTTTTATATTTATTTTTAGAATTGTTCATTTTTATAGGACCTAGTAGTAGTATTTTTTTTCGTTTTGATTTATATACATTGGGGGTAGGGTATTTAGGAAAATAGTTTTCCTGAAAAGTAGTTTTTATGTTACACAGGATTTTATGTTTTCTATGTATTTATATATTTTGAATTGAAAAAAAAACTATTGTAAGCTCAACAAAACATTGATTGTTTGAGTTTGTCGAAAAGTAGCAGTGACATTTGAAAATATTTAAGTGAAAATTAAATTTGCTTTGTGTGTTAAATGTTAAATAAAACGTTCAATTTGTGTAATTAATATTTAACATATTGACTGTGATATCTCGGAGCTAACACCTAAAGTACATAATTTCATTTCATTTTCAGTATTTGAAAGGATTTCGAATTTTTCGATAGTTGAAAAATTTTGATGAATTGAGAGGGTTTTCTGTTTGTTTAAGGCTAATGCCAAGGTACAATTTTTTCACATTTTTCCTCATTTTTAAAATGAGTTAAATATTGCGGAAAACGAGTGAAATGCTTGGATTTTCTCTCAAAATTACGACCCAAACTGCTAAATCTTTCAATTTCATGGCTAAACTGGTTAATAGCTTTAATGCGCGAGCCGCAATGTACGTGTCTTCCAATCATTTGTTTTGAAAATTGGAAAAAGTCGGGCACACTTAGAAAAAAATTGTAATCAGCTGGTAGCTCTACCTTACTAAGCTAACATTTCTTTCCATCTCTCAAGTTTTTCTAAGGGGAATGATGTTATTTTTCCAAGGAAATGGAGAATTCTCACTGATCATTGGGAATATGAGAATGAAAAGTAACTTTATATTCTCTTCAATTTTTTACTTTGAAACAAATCTTGGAATTCAGTTCATAAAATGTTTTGATTAAGAAAATGTATATTTAAAATGTTCGCTTCTGTGGGAAAATGATTCGTCCATGGGGAAAATTCAAGGTCAAAAGAATATTTGTAAATGTGATGGATGTCTTATGTGCAGATTATACTCATTTAAAATTGAACGAATATAAATAGTTTTTTCTTTGTTACTCCCGAAGGGCATCACAGGCAATATGTTATTAACTTAGTTTAAAATTAAATCTTAATTTTAAAATCAGTTTAAAATATTTTAATTACAAAAAATAAATAAATTATAAAAGTTGGAGAAAACAAGGGAAATAAAATGTTCCAAAAGCACCGAACCGGATAGATATTCGATCCATTACAATGGAAACGATGATGCTGCTGCGTTGGGTTGCAATTGAAGAAGATTTTATTTTCCTTTTATTCTTATTTTTAAATTTGTTTGAGTGTGGCAGTGTCTGTGTGATCTAAATATAAAACGTATTTACATTTGTTTTCTTGAAAGCATTGAATTTATTTTTTGTTTCGGCCCTGGAAAAAGACTATTTTCAAGGAAGTTGAGAAAAACTGATTTTAAAATTCACACCAATGAAGAATCTACAGAAAAAGTGGAAGTTTCCCTTTTCTATATCCCTTCGTTCTTTTATAGCATGTCTCATTCTTGAGTTAATAATTGATCCTTTTCGGGGTAAAGTGTAACTGCCATCACCATTTTGAAAAACAAAAAATAAAGTAAAGGCTTTCCTCCTCCCAAATGTATTGCGGCAATACATAAATATGGTATATAGAAATTTTCCATTTTTAATAAAAAATTCTAAAAACTTAAAATTAAAAGCTTCTCAGGCGGAAAAATATGGAAAATTCTATAAAACATATACAATAACAATGCAAAATTAAAATTGAACTTTAAATAACATTTAAACACACTCGTCAAAAAAAAAAAACATTTAAAACAAAAATAAAATAAAGATTTCAAAAAACACTTAAACATTTTCATTTCACTTTGGGACTTGATTTCAGAATACATTTAACATAGACACAAACATTTGGGTTATTTTTATTAACATGTTAGGTTATACGGACAGGAGTTACAATATATAATATTTTTTGTTTTTTTATTTTATTTTGAATTTTACTTTTTTTCATATGTTGTCGTCGTCATTGAGATCAAAAAATAATAATAATAAATTAATGTATGTAATTGTTTTTGTTTGTATTTTGTTTAACTGTTTTTATTACCTTATTATAATATATTATTAAAATTAGAAAATAAACTAATTACGTAAAAATAACGGTAAATTATAAAAAATAATAAAAATTAAAAAAATACGTAATATATCAAACTATAGTCTATACTTTCATTATTAGAGCAAAAGTTTATATATGATTAACATTAAAAAAATAATTAAATAAAACAAAAATCTTAATAATTTAATATTATGCTTATTTCTTTGCTTCTATTTCTTTCCTTCTTCTTTTTCACAAAAACAAATTCAACATCAACTTATAACAGCTGTTTGTTTGTATTTTTGTTTCCTATACAAAAAGTTTATTATTTATATATATTGTTGTGTGTTTGAAAACCTTACAAAAAAAAATTATATAAGTTATTTATAATTAAAAGAAACACTTAGGATCCAGTATTATTATTATTTTTTTTTATAAATATTATTATATTAGCATTTGTATATATATAGTTCATATTGTATAGTACAAGAGGGTGAAAAGAAGGGAGGGGGAACTGTTTAAATATTATTATCTTTTCGTGTTTTGTTTTTTTTTTTCTTTATACATTTTTTTGTTTTTGTGTTGTGTTTTAAGATATTTATCTTAACCGTTTTTTTTTTTCTTCTTGTTTTGTTTTTAGTTTCATCGCTAACTAGAGTCTGGTGAATTTGTATTTCTTACGTTTTCTTTTCATTTATATATTTTCTGTGTTAAAAATTTGTAGTTTTTCATATTCTTATTTTGTTTGTTGCTTCTGTTTGTTTTTTGTTTATATGTTATAAATATTACAATCACTAATAGCATGAAATCACACTATTTGTTGTTTTAAAATAACTTTGCTTTTTTACGTTAAAATTTGGTTTGATCATCATCATCATTTTTCATTGTTATTATTAGTAGTAATAGTAGTTTTATTATCCAACATCATCATCATAATCACGATTTTGGTATTTTAGAGTGTGGCAGGAAATAAAGTAATATTATTCCTGCCATTTCTTAATCAGTTTAGTTAGTTTGTATTTTTGTGGACGTTTTGTGTGGTGTATTTAGACGGTAGCTATAACTATCAACAGATGAGCGATATCAGCTACACGATTCTTTAGATCTGGTGCTGCCTTCTCTAGATTTTCATTGGCAAAATCACATGAGGGGAATATGTGTACCACATAGGCTGCCTGTTCGCTTCCCGGCATTGGTATATTCACAATTCCGGCAGCCATTTTCTGTTGCAAATAGGTTATAAATCCAGATTGTAGGTTGCGAGATTGTTGCAAGACATCGGCATGATCACGGCCACAGGGCAACGCCAACAGCATACAATGTTCATTTTCAAACTGAAAAAAAAAAAAAAATGGAAAAAAAAAATGTAAAAATTAATATTATTCAGTGTACTGGCCTATGGTCTATATGAGGTCGGTCAGTAAGCCCATCTGAAAACTAATTTTGAAGTCAAAAGATTTAATTGTGATTGTGAAACTCAAAGATAAATAAGTCACAAGCTTATAAAAGGTCGGCCAGAAAGATCATCTGACTACTAAAAATTTTATATCAGAAGACATAATTGTGACTACTAAGTTTTGTTCAACTTCAACCAACTTCAGACTGCTGTAATTTATAAGCCACTCGTCCGACAACTGTTAAAATTATTCCATTCATTATATTGTTTACAAGCGTACAAAAGCATTTTGGTGAGAATTTCCCAGAAAAAAACTATTCGTGATGGAATTCAAGCGTGATCGTGTGATTTCTTTATATTTGGCTGGAAACCCACAAGGGGCTATCGTTAGGGCACTCCAGCTTTTAAATGTGTTTACATTTTTTGAGTCTCGTATCATCGTGATACTGGTAGCGTAGTCCGATGTCAAGGAAGTGGACGGAAGAAAACAGCAACATCAGCAGAAATGGTTCAAAAGTAAAGAAGCGACTTGATCGAAACACGCGTTGTTGCAGTTTTTTTTTTATCTCACCCTGTATTTTCAAAACATCCATATTTTTTTCTCCCCCAAAATATTTTTTCATATGCCTTTAAGAAAACTAAAAAGGAGAATGTTCCTTGACTTACCTGCATTTTCTTGGCAACTCCCTCCAGTTGTGTCTGTTCCAAACGCATACGCTGTGCTATACGCAATGGTGGTGTACTGCCATCGCTGTTGCACGGCAACGAGGCACGTGCAACATGCGGATTTCCAAAGACAAAATGCATTTGGACTGCAGCTTGATCGGTTTTCAAGGCCAGCAAACCTTGCCACATAACTGGATACCGTTGAAGCAATGTCAGCAGTGAATCTGCTTGAGGTGGTGGTGGAACTTGGCCATGTGCCACGGCTGGATGTGGGGGTAGTTGATGTGTCGATGATGAGGATGCAGCTGTCACTTGCATATTATGGGCATCACCTAAGGAAATAGAGAAAAATTAAAAATTTATTATTTAAATGTAAAAAAATATATGGGGTCCCAGATTGTATTGGAGCTTTCTATTGCGTTGTCGAAGCACACAAGAACCTTGGGGTTTATTAAACAGTTAATAGGCATAAGCGTGAATAAGTGTTACCGATTTTTGGAAAAAAAAAATGACATATAAAAACTGCGTTTGGTTCTTTATACTATCCACCGTGGGTAAATCTTGATTATGAAAAAATCACATATTTTCAACATTGTTCCCACTGTGTACCCAAATATAGTTCGAAATTGAGACAGATACTTTCCAAATAAGGAAAATCACGAGGTACCCATATATGGGTACTATTACTAAAACTAGGATCTGCATTGAAAATTCTTTTGCGAGGATTTAATGTATTCGCAGAGAACTAGTATTCTCAAATTATAGCAAAAATTGCTTGGAAATTGAGGCGAAAATCTCAACAATACCAATAATCGGGAGGCGCCGTTATAAGAGGCTATATTCCAGCCGCAAATAATTAAAGAGATTCTATGTAATGACATGATTTGACTGAATTCTTCTATGTAATGGCATGATTTGACTGAGTTCGGACGAAGTCAACATACTTCAGCATTTGAACTAATTCCTTCAATAAAGGCATTTTAGTAAACAAAATGTACAGTACCCCAGCAGCTAAGGTTTGGGGAAGATACCATCTCCAAAATTGCTGTAAAATGTCGTACCAAATGATTCCATAATTCCATTCTTAGAATCCCAAAAACGATTTGAATCTTTTGCATGTTACTATTTTGTAAAACGTATTGGAAGTGTCAAAAGATTAAACATTTATTGGGTATCAATAACCTCAACTGAATAATAACACAATTTTGAAACTCAATCTTTAAATGTTATGCTGATCTTTTATGGGACCTCTGAGAATATTTCGAGGAGTTATTCGTTTGTGGTTGAATTTTTCAGATTTTTCAGATTTCCACATGTCTTTTATAGGTAATAGGCTTTCAGCCAGTCTGCTTTATTGTTGTTGTATATATGATCAACTTTTTATAGGCTTTCCACAATTAAAAGGCATATAATAAGCCTTCTAGATAGCTATCTTTCATAACTTAATAAGTCTTGATCGTGAATTTGGCTTCATTCCTTGTCGATTTTATCGGGCGCTTGAAAAACAATCATTTTGGAAGCTAACAAAAAAACTGAACACAGGCTGCCTCAAATTCTTTCGCATGTACACTGTATCTTATCCACGTACACAGTTCTCTTGAATCAAATCACTATAATCTTACCTGTCCTAACGAGAATTTGTTCTTTTTCACGCAACAGCTGTTGTTCCCTCTCTCGGTCGCGTTGTTCCCTTTCACGTTCCATTAATTGTTTGGAGTGATGTAGTGCAGCTGAAGTTCCACCAGCAGTTAGTGGTACATTCGTTGCGGGCGGAGCGGAGGGCATAAATGGACTACTACTGCCCGCCGATGGGTGGGGTACAACTACAGTTGGTGGTGGTGCCACCACACTATGAGCCGTTGCTGATCGATGGGCAGGTGGAGGTTCCAAATTCAATTGCCTTGCAGGATCATAATATGCAGATGGTGGCCCACCTGGAGCCCCAGTTGTAGTGGGACGACCAGCTACATCGTAATGTGCATGGGCGGGTAGACGTGCATTATGGACATAAACTTGAGCCACTTGGGGTGAATCTAAGAGAGAGAGAGAAAGAGAGAGGAATGATTTAGTTTCAAATAAAGAGTTTTTAATTAGGCTTTATCATACCAGTTGCTCTATCCTGAGGACTTTGTAGACTGTGTGGTACAGCCACTGTCCGTGGTACACTGCTAGGTCTTCTCAATTCCAATGGTGGACTGGTGCCCAACAATTGTTCATCATATTCACGCAAAGCGGGCGGATTCAAAGCATCATGCTGGCGCAATATTTGTTGGTATATCATCAAATGTTCCCGCGTGGGAACTGCACGTATTGGTCCACCAGGGAATGTTGCATCATTCTGAAGAGATAGGAAAAAGGTAAGGTTAGATTCTATATTTAAAATAATTTTTGTATACAAATATTTATAAAAACAAAAAAATAATTTGAAAATTAAAAAAAAAAATTGAATAAATTTGAAAAGTTTACCGGTGTTATAGGAGACGCTTGTTGATGAGCAGGTGGAGGACTATGTGCATTGCGTACAACGCCTTTAGGGGCACTATTATACGTGTTCATATCATGCTGCGTCCATAAGTTTAAATTAGATTGTTTTATGAGTCAAATAATTTGGAATGGAAATTTTTGTGTTATTCAGGATTTACAAAAGAAAACTCCCATATTTGTGGATGGTTTTCTGCTAAGAGATTTTCTAAGTCTGGCTCCCGAATAGCATTTAAATTGCCCTTAAATATTTATTATTAAAAAAAAGAATAGCTTACCAGATTTGTTTCAAAGTGTGGTGGCACTTGTATGCCACCAGGCATCAATATGGTTCCCATGCGAGCTTGACTTTGTGGACTAATCGTTGGCACTGACGTACGCAAATTGGCGCCACCTGAAATATAAATTTATAAAATTAAATAAGACATTGTTAAAAATTATTTTCTTTTTTAACTTACCACCAACAACATTTGCTGTTATTGTTGATGTCGACTGAGGGGATGGCTTTCCTCCGGCCTGTTGCTGTTGTTGTTGGGGTGGTGGAGAACCAACGGCACTGAGAACACCACGTGCAACACTTTGACTTTGTAAACTATGAAGCATTGGATTTGTTGGCGGAGCTTTGGACAAATGTGGAACTTGCTGTAAGGGTGGCGATGGAGTATGCTGGGCCGTATGCTGCATATGACTGAGGGCTGCAGACGTTGGAGTCGCTACAGTTGACGATGATGATGGTGCTTGTGTTGGCGGTGCAGATGTCTTGGTTTGTATCACCATGGCAGAATGTTGGGCGAGACCCATTAGTCCCAGTGGCAAAGATGATGCTGAGGTATTTGTTTTCTGTTGGCCAGCCAAGATTTGCTGGTGAGCAGTTGGAAGATGTTGTTGAACTGAAGAAGTTTGGTTTTGTTGCAAATACGGATTGAATGGCTTTACAACCGCCACTGCTGCCTGTTGCATTAGATGCATAGAGGCTGCTGCAGCGGCCGCTGATGTGGCAACCGCAGAAGGCACCATACCACCGGTAGCAGCAGCACTTTTGTTTGGTGTTGGAGGCGTTGCTTTGGAACTAACCACATGTAAAATTTGCGATGGATGCAACTCGTCACCTTGTTTCATGATGATTGATTGCTGATGGCCTGGCTGCTGTGGCATCGTGACCTGTGGTTGATGTTGCATCCTTGGTGAATTCAAATTACTGGCGGCCGTTGCATGTGGTGAGTGTTGAGTTGTTGGTGGTGGTATATTCACCAACAGCTGTTGTTTGATTGGACCCATTTGGGCCTGTGGTGGGGTTTGACGTTGTACAATATTTGATTGTTGTATTACATGGCCAGTAGGAGGAGGAGGTGGTTGTTGTACCACCGTTCCAGATTGTTGATGGACCAGATGATGCGTTTGCTGTTGCTTGGAGGGTGTTTGCGGAGCGTGCAACTGCTGATGGTGATGCTGTTGTTGTTGTTGCTGCTGCTGCTGCTGTTGTTGTCCCCCAACCGAAGCTGACATTTGCAGTTGTTGCTGCTGTTGTTGTAATTTTTGACTATTCAACACATGCGCCTTTAGACTCGTTGGCGGCCTCACACTTGTGTGCTGAGCATGCATCACCAGCGGTGTTTGCTGCTGCATAATGATCGGTTGCTTCGTTGGAGTTGATATGTCAGCCGGTCTGGTTTGTTGCTGGTGGGTCTGAGCTACCACCTGTTGACTGGTAATGTGTGTCGCTGTTGCCGGACTTGATGGAACTGTCGAAGTCTTGACGACAACGCTCACCGAAGACTTATTGAGCAGGGCAGTAGTCACCGATGATGCTGCCGCAGCAGCTGCTGTGGCAGTTTCAGCTTGCACCGGTTTGGTAAGAGCAGTTATTGGTGTCGCCACTGATGCCTGAGACATTGTGGTGGATGGTGTCGAGGACAACGGTTTGTTGCCCATTACACTACTCTCAGATACGGCGGCAGCTGCGGCTACCGCAGCCTGCATCATTTTCTTGGGGTCCAGCGGTGGACGCTGTGGTTGAGCAGCAGCAGTGGCCGACGGCAAATTACCAGCCTTAGCCTGCTGCATTTGCTGCCCGGACACAATGCCAGCAGTGTTTGTGTCTATAACGGGTTTATTAACCGAATCGGCTGCAGCACCACCGGTTGTCTTTTGCGAGGCAGGTGCAGCGGTATTTAGCATTGGAACACCACCACACGATGGTAGAGCTGAATGAATATTTGAAGTATTCACTGTGCCTTGGTTCTGATACGACTCAATTTCGGCAGCGGCCAAAGCCTTCTTTTTGGGATGTTGTGGTATGGTGGAGCTGATGGAGGAGGTAACTGACTGCGGTGCAGAAATATTGGTGTTTGATTGTTGTGGTGCTGCTGCGGACACTGGCACGGTGGATGATGTCGCCGGTGGTTGTACAACCGATCCACCAACTGCGCTAGTAGGTGGCTGTTGCTTATCCTCCAACGATTGCGTGCCAGATTTTAAAGGATTTTCTGGTGTATCATCCAAATCTACAATTTCATGTACCACACCACTTCCCTTAGATGGCGGCTGTGGTGAAGCAATCGACTGTTCGCTATCCATTTCATTAATGCTTTTACGATCTTTGGATTTTCTTGGTCGACCAATGGCATTGGGAGTTGTAGTAACTATACCAACAGCTGCTGCTGCCGCTGATTCGCCAACAATTCCAGTCTTAGATTTGGGCTGAGTGGCAGCAGAGGTGCGACCCGATCTTCGCGGCGGTGTTTGGGCACCCTTTGGCAAGGCATTGGAAATCACATTTGCAGCCTGAAGTGGTATGGGCTGTGGATTATTTGTGGACATTGCTGTTGTTGCCGATACTTGTTGTCCAGCACCAGGTGGCACAGCGGTATTTCGCACCACATCTTCAATAATATCATCAATGGTACTGCGATCTTTTTCAAGCAATCTACGAGATTTTCTGGTATTAGCAAGAGAATTCAAATCGCCTTCGGATTGTGCGGAGTTTGCTCCGCTTGTTGGTGCCGAAGATTGGATTTCTGATTGCTGTTGTGGTTGTTGTTGTTGCGTTGCAGATGTTTCGCTCAATGGAGCCGCCACTGTTGCTGTTGGCGTTGGCTGTTGCTCATTGGCAATTTTCTCGCTGGTCTTGACCACGGGCGTGGGGTTATGTGGACTTTTTATGGTTAAAATCAAACGCGGCCGATTGTCAACACCGCTTACTATGCTGCTAGCCACTGAAGAGCTTGATGGTGCCGCTGATCCGCTGCCTGATTTGCCACTTTCTTCACCAGAATCGTCATGGAATTCATAAACATCGCTTTTATTGTGATGATGAACCTCTGAAAGTGAAGCCAATGTTGCTGCTGCTGATGCAGCTTGACTTCTTGCCTTCTTTTCGGCTGCCGTTAATACCGATGGCCCAGTTACTGAAGAGGAAGCACCAGTGGTACCTGCCACATTTGTAGATGGTACCGTCGAGGGAGTTTGCAACTCTTGTTGTTGTTGCTGCTGTTGCTGTAATAGCAAATTCCTTGGTGGCCTACCTTTGCGACCTCTTGTTGCTGGTGTTGCAGCATTGGGTTTTCTCAAACGTGTTTGAACTCCTGCTGCATTGCCAGATGGTGGTGCAATATCTTGCAACTGATTCGCAGCAACGGCAGGTGGAGCATTTGGTATAACAGCTGCTGCCTTTTTGCCACCTCTTGGCTGGCGACCACGTTTAGCTCCGGTACCCCGAGTATTGGGTCTACCTTGTACCGAGATCTGTTCAAATGCTGGCATTTGTTGTGTCTCCGTTTCATCCTCTGTGTCATGATCGGTGTTAACCGTAGTTGCCGATGAGGAATTCGCTGGATTCACATTGTAAGACGCCGTTGATGTAGGTGGCTGTGTCTGAGCCACAGGTTCTGGCACAGTGCTAATTGTGTCCCCTGAATTAGTTTTGGCATGTGACACATCTGTGGTAGATTTTGTGGGCTGAGTTTGAGGATACTTAGCTGCTGCCTTTGCATCTTCAATTGTTGTTGCAGCAGCGTTTTGCTGTTGTTGTTGCTGTTTGCTTGGGTTAGTGTTGATTGGAAGCGTATTTGTTGAAGGTGTTGCCACAGAGGTTGAGGTCGCCATTGCATTATCATTCTTCTTGATAACGCTGCTGGCAGCCAAACTGCTGGTAGTTGTGGCACCTCCACCACTGTTAGGCTCCACCACATTCAATTCCTTGGCTGACCAATAATCACTATCCTCTTTGGAGTCCTGTTCGATTTCATCGTGTTTGGGTGGTGATATTTTTGTGATATTCTCTTCCGTCAGGGCAGCTGAAGCTGTTATGGGCGAGGCCCTTGTGAGCGAAGAAGCTGGCTCAGCAGCCGATATATTCGCTGTAGCACTGTTATTTGTTGATGACGCCACCACCGGGACAGTAGTCTCCTTATTAACATGTTGTGTAGGTGGGGCCACAATTGTTGATGTGGTTGTTGCTGCCGTTGTCGTGACAGTTGATGCCACAATATTTGTGGGAGTTGGAGTCCTAATTACTGAAACATTTTCAACATGTTTTGGTTGAGTAGCGGCGACTCCGCTATTATCACCAGTCGTTGCTGCTGTTGTTTGTCCAGCAACTGAGGGAGCTGATGTTTGTGGTGTTGAGACGATAACACGAGACACTGTTTCGGTTAGGCCAACAGAGGTTGCAGTTGATGTTTCTTGTTGTGCTCCAGTTGGAACTGGTGAACGTTGTTGTCCTGCCATACTGGGAGACTGTTGCAAGGACTGCAAATGCAGTTGCTGTGGCGATTTTCCAAACACAACATTGGATTGTTGGTGTTGCTGCTGCATGGTGGGTGAAGATCTTTGCTGTTGTTGCATGGCAATATTCTGTTGTTGCTGCGATTGCGGCGTCTGCAAATGGGGAATCCCCACAACATGTTGCTGCACCAAAAATCGTTGCGGTGTTGTTGGTGTTTGTATAACATTTTGCTGCGGCTGTTGATTGCTTGCATGTCCCGTTGGCTGCGTACTGCTGGATGAAGAATGCGGCGACTGGGGTGATGCAGACGATGGATGTAGCTGCTGATATTGGGACTTTATTTGATGTGGTTGCAACTGATGCATTGTTGGCTGCTGTGGAGCCTGGGTGTGTTGGAGATGCTGATGTTGCTGCGGCGGCATCAGTTGTTGAGGCGAATTCATTGGCCCGCGTTGTTGCTGTTGATTGGCAACATATTGTTGTTGCTGTTGCTGCTGCATTTTTTGTTGTTGCTGTTGTTGATGGAACATTTGTTGATGCTGCATTTGCATTATGTGCTGATGCATTTGTTGTCGCTGTTGTTGGTGATGTTGCTGTTGTTGCCTTTGTTGTTGTATCATTTGTATTTGTGCTTGGACACTCTGCTGTTGTTGTTGCTGCACCGAAATATTACCCATTTGCTGTATAATTTGTGGAGAGTGCCTCGAGCTGGGAGATGGCGGAGGTGGCGGAGAATAAACCGCTGCAGATTTTGGTGAGTTCTGTTGATTTTGTAAACCACCCGGACTGTGAGGCGGCATTGTGGATTGCTGAGCCTGCTGTGGTGTGACCGTCACCACCTTGCTGATTATTGTCGGATGCGAAGGGACAGGTGGCATTTTTTGTACCGATATTGGCAAAATGTGCTGACCTATGGGATGTGAATGTTGTTGCTGGTGTTGTTCAATGGCAGGCTTTCCACCCGTCGCCACCTGTTGTTGCTGTCCAGCGTGGGGTGAACATTGTTGAGGATTTTGGGCATTTTGAGGTGGCGGTATGCGTATGCTCACCACATTCGCCGTTTGCATTGGCGGCGTGGAATAGTTGTTAATCTTGATCATATGTTGCTCTGGTGCACCACAGCTCGGCGAACTGTGCGGAGGCATTTTCTGCAATGTGGATGTTAACAGGTGTTGTTGTTGTTGTTGTTGCTGCCGTGGGGATTGTGTTGAGTTGGGACTGGCCATGGGGCTATTCATTGCCACCGCCGACTGTGTTCCCACCATCAACTGAGAGTTGTTCGGAGACATCTGAGATTGTTGCTGATGCACTGAACCACCTCCCCTTGGATTAAAATGTTTTGTTGTGATGCCATTGAAATTGTAACTGGAGGTGGTGGTGTGGGCGTATGGGGACTTTGCTGCCTTGGCGTTGGTGTGTTACCACGCGAGGTATTACGCGGACTATGGGGTGATTGGGCTCGCATGCCCATAATATAAGCCGTACTAAGTGGTGACTGTGGCGGCATTTGAATTCCCGAAGATTGTGGTGAATGAATGGCCGTCGATGATGTCAAGGACGATGATGAAGAAGAGGCGGACGAATCATGACATTTGTGGCTGTTACCACTCCATGTGGTGACAACACCATTTGCGGCACTACAAAATGTGGTGTCGGATCGGGAATGCTAATGGTGGGAGGTTGCATAACATAAGCCATTGTAGCCGGGGTCATGGTGGTTGTCTGGGGCAAAGACAACGGCTTAATGATTGTTGCCTGATGGGGAGATTGGAGAGCTTGTTGTTGTTTGGGTGTTGAAGATGTTGTCGCCGATGGGGCAAATGTTATGGATGTCTTTGTGGGTGTAGATGTGCAAGAGATTGTGGTCGCTGGACCGGATGTCATCGATGATGTAGAAGATGAAGAAGTCATTAATGCAGACGCACCCACCGAGCTAACAACAACAGAGGTGATTGTCTCATTCGTCGTTGCTGGTATAACAGACTGCACTGGTTGCACAGCTGGCTGATCTTGTTTCGAAATGGTTGGTGGTTCCAATTTTGGTTCTCCGGAAACTTGTGCCACATTGCCAGCAGTCGATTCCATCTTTGTTATAACAGAAGATTGCTGTTGTTGTTGCATTGTTTTGGCTTCTGTTGCCCTCTCGCTCATTTGTTGATTATCCCCTTGGGTATCGGACAATATAGAGGTGGTATTGTTTTGAGCCTTCTCTGATAGCGAGCTACTATTATTGGATTGGGCCGTCTCATCGATTTTCAAACTATGACTACCACTGCTGTCAGCCTCGTCGGCATTCTCCTCGGTATCTGTGTCGATTTGAAGATCACGTACAGACTGTGGTGTATCTGCCGATTTGAGTTCCAACTCTTCCTGGCGCAGGCTTGTATAGCTTTGCACACCTCTTCGGCATCGGTTGTCTTCAACGACCACATCTGTGACAGGATTACTTTCCACCTCACACTCGATGGCTTTGGCGGCAAGGGCTGCTTCTTCGTCGGGCTCGGCCGGTGTCATCATGACCGGCTCGGGCTCTGCACTTACACTATTTAAGTCGTCCAAAGGTACATCGTCGTCAAACGAATAGTCAGCCGAAGAATTCCAAAGCTTTCACCCAACAGAGCAGAAACGGCACTTTCCGTCTCCTCCTGTGATATGGTGACACGTGATTTCGACTCTTCCAGTTTTTCCAATTTAGAGGCGTCTGGCGGAGATTCCACAGGTATTTTTGGCTCATCAGCCGTGGGATCTAGAGGCGGATTAAACTCGGCCGATATGGATTGCACTGCAGATTCGCTTATCTTTTCATCGATTTCCCCATCAAAGCGGGTATGAAGATGTCTGGTTTTTCTTCTGTGTTTGGGGGCAACGAGGTGAGCGATGATGTTGTGGTGGGAGAGACCATTGCATTCGATGTTGTTGATGTGGTGGAAGAGGTAGTGGAATCAGTTGATTTATTCAAAGTGCTCGTCGTGGTAGCACCAGCAGCAGCAGCAGCAGCAGCATTGGCTGCGGAATTTCCGGCTGTGGAAGACGTTGGTGTTGTGCTGATGGCGTTAGTATTGTGAGTACTGCTGTCCATTGTAGATGAGGTAGGAGTTGTTGGTGTAATTTTTTCATATTCTCCATTGAATTAAGGCCACTAGTATTGCTTATCGTTGGAGTTTTTGGTATGGGGCTAATCATTTGTTTATCACCTCTCATGTGGGGAGAAAGCGAAAGTAAATCCTTTGATGAAGATCGATGTGGTGTAGTGCAAGCAGTTGCACAAGTCAATGACGTGTTGGGTGTTGTCTTCACCGGTGGTTGGGTGGTGGTGCTTGGCAGAATCTCCTCGTCATCATCATCACCGATCAGACACGGCAAACTGGGTGATGGTTTACACAGGGGCGAGGTTTTGGTGGTGGAGGATTGTTCGCCATGCTCCTCGTTTGCCAATTTCTGGGCATTTTTATTGGCTGCTGCAATATCTATGGTTAATTTTGCGGTGCTTGCGGATTGGGATGCATTCGTGGCATGTTGAGATGCATTCGAAGATGAAGATTCTCTTCTTTGTTGATGATGTAGCTGTTTCTCTTCTTTGGAACGTTTCTTCTTTTTCTTCTTGGTTTTCATGCCACTGTTCAAGCTGATGTTCGTAGCATGTTCCTTCTCCGCCATGCCGCTGCTCACATCTCGATTCTCATGTTTACCGGTTGGAGCTGAACTTCCCGTTACCTCCAATGAGTTTTCGTCTCCATCAGAGAAACGAAACACATCGGTCATATCACTGCGATAAGTTGTAGCCGTTGAAGGAGTTGCATCCTCGGTAGCTTTATTATCCGAATCTTCCATAAGTTGGGCTTCGAGAGCACGTCCTGCTGCATCTAAATCAACGCTATTTTCATCCTCCAAAGGTTTGGCGGGAGTTGTTGTGCTACTAACTGCTGCAGGTGATGGCATAAATTGTGCTGCGGCTGCAACCACCGTCATACTCTGATCCAGACCAGAGCCCCGTGATTTCTCGCGATCCTTACGCTTCTTCTCTCTCTTCTCTTTGCGATGCTGTCGTTCAACAGATCTTTCGATGTGAGATGGCGGACCGCTTAATGAGGGACATTTTTGCTTGTTCTCCTCGTTTTTCTTCCACGGTATGTGATTTCGGTGTCAGGGGTTCTTGTTGTAGGGATTCAAGGCTGCGGAAACAATGGGTCCTGTCACATTGGCTGTCAAGGCATTGCGATTTGGAAGACAATTCAAATCTCTACCTACCGCGCCATGTCACTGTCCGTCATTTCTTCTTCCTCGTCGTCGGATATGGGACCGAAAATGTCTTCCATTTTCTCGCCACTTCTCTGTTTTTGTTGAGATGTGTAAAGCCATCACTACAGCCACCGCCACTGGTGGGCGAGGAAGCTGAGCCCGGAATTTGC